TGCAGGGTCTGCTGGCTGGGTGCTGGCAGGTTTGCACCTGGCACGGGCACCGTAGCCAGCCCGTGCCCCTTTAAGGGGTCCGGGACCGGGAGGGGGGCAGAAGAGTTTCTCTGGTGGTGCCCAGAGTGGCCACCAGGGAAAGCTGGGGAGGGATAGCCTCCCACTAGTTCAAATTAAGTGGTTACACAGCCCTTAATTCGAACTACTTAATTCAAACTAGGCATTACTCCTCGTGGAATGAGGTTTACCTAGTTCGAATTAAGCGCTCCGCTAGTTTGAATTAAGTTCGAACTAGCGGTTTGTATGTGTAGTGCCTATCAAAGTTAATTCGAACTAACGGCTGTTAGTTCGAATTAACTTTGTAGTGTAGACATACCCTCACACGGGAATGTTCTAGTCTAGGATATTAACTGCGTCAGAATTGTGTTTTGCAATTACTTACATTTCTCATTATTATGGGTAGGTTTCCAGATGGTTTCAACAAAAATCCCAGACACACTTGACATTACATCACAATCTACATTACATCTTACTTAGAAAATACCGGACATTTATTTTTTTAAATTTGTTTCCTAAACAGAAAACTCAAATACTGGACTGTCTGGTTCAAAACCGGATACCTGGCAACCCTAATTATTGGAGTATTTCATAGGATTCAGTCCACTCTATTAGAAAACAGTGTCACTTCAGACAATAGATATATAATCTTATGCATATGCAAAATTTTTAATGGTCATTTTCACTTAAACAATGAGACCTATTATTATAATTAATAGAATCTGCACTCATAATTTGGTTGGTGCCACACTGAAAATATATTTATAAGTGAGCAAGATGATTGGACGGGATAATAAAAGATAAATTCATAAGGTGAAAGTTAATTAAAGGGGCCAAACAATTGAAGTCAGTACAAGTGATTAGTTAAAATCTGAAAGCAAAACAAATTGGCTGAAAAGTCACAAGTTGAGGTAGTAAATTTGATATCAGAAATAAACGTACAAGCTCATGAAAAGCCCAACAGAGTATATTCTCAGATAAGAGCGTTCCAACTTGCTACAGTTAAGTGAGAAACGTGTATCTACTTAGCCAATTAGATTGTATCTCTGCTTCCTGGTGGATTAGTGGCACAGTCAATTTTTTCCTCAACCCCTAGTTTCCATATCCTTTGTACCACCTTAATGTTAAAAGAAAAAGTGTTGCACTGGAATTCATTAACATATTGGAGAGCGCTTCCAATATTACTGATAGAGACCTTTTACAGAATTACACATATAGGGACTTTTTACTTTGGATAAACTACAGGTTGAACTTCTTTTACCAGGACTCTTTGGTCCGGCAACATCCCTGGTCCAGAAGGAACACCGAAGTTCAGGACTAGAGAATCCCTTGGAAGGCTGGTGGCTGGGAGTCCTGCAGCAGGGCTGAAGCCCAGTTGAGAGGCTGCCCTGTGGCATCAAAACCAGGAGCACGGCAGCAGGGGGCAACACTGGGGGGGGGGGGGGCGGGGCTGGAGGCCAGCAGCAGGGCTGCCACCGAGCAGCAAAACTACTAACCTGCAGTGAAAGCACCTAGGAAGACCTGGAGGCAGCAGGGCTGTCTGGTGGTGGGACTGGGAGCCAGCAGCAGGGCTGTCCCGCAGCACAACCAGAAGCCCAGCAGCCCCACTACCATCCAGTGGAAGCAGAACTGGTAGGCTGTGGGGCCGAAAGCCTGACTGCGGGGCCAGGAACCCAGAAACAGGGCTGCCCGGTGGTGCAGCAAAAAGCCCAGTAACCCCACTATCACCCGACGGAGCTGCCTAGTGAGGCCAGGAGGCAGTGGGGCTGCCGACCCGCAATGTAACTAGACCCCAGCATGGGGTCTGCCCCGTAGGGCCGGGAGCCCAGCAGTGTTGCTGTGCGTGTGGTGGGGAGGCTGCCACGGTGGACCAGAAGCCCTGTCTCCGGAGGCGCTAGTGGCCTAGTGAGGAGGCTGGTAGCCAGGCCACAGTGGGGGAGGGGCAGAAATGACCTTCTCTCATCCAGCAAATCCTTCATCTGGGACTGGTCAGGTCATAAAGGTGGACCAGGGATGGCCAAACTGTATATTGCCCCTCAGAAGAAGATACTGACCTGTTTCCTCTCTGTCAACAAAAGCCTTAACAAGAATTTCTCCCCCTCCCAATTCCCCCAGTCATCCTCTAGTTAGGATTGCCAGATGGTTTCAACAAAAATACTGGACACACTTGACATTATATCACAATATACATTACATCTTATTTAGAAAATAAGCACATTTCTATTTGCTCATTTATATTTTCTCAATTTGTTTCCTGAACAGAAAGCTCAAATACTGGACAATCCAGTTCAAAATTGGACACCTGGCAACCCTACCTCTAGTATGCCATTAAGTCATCTCCTTTTCTGTTCACTGCAGTGAAACATTATTAGTAATTCAAATAAAATTCATTCACTGCAGTGACAAAGAGAGAAGGAAAGCGAGACTGAGCAGAATCTGGGATACTGGTCCACCGCAGGATAACATACCCCTGGCCTAGGTGTACATTCGACAATGAGTTGTCCAGAAATCATCCATTTGTGTAGAAAACCTCCATTTCAACCACATCCTGACTACACCTGGCCATTTGATCAGAAGCTAGCAAAATTTGCAAAATAGTTTTAAGCTAAAACCAAACCTATACAGTAAGCTCATTCATACAGTCAATATTCACCTTATGAAGTCATTTCTATTTTATAAAGCTACCAGCAATGGAATTCTCAAGCCACTTCTATAAACAAGCTGTTTAGTGTGTTTCAGGTATATCTAAATATTCTCACATATTAAATATCTGCAAAATCAACAAGGATTCATGGTCACCTTAGAGACTAACAGATTTATTAGGGCATAAGCTTTCATGGGCATGCTTACGCTCTAATACATCTGTTAGTCTCTTAGGGTACGTCTAGACTACATGCCTCTGTCGCCAGAGGCATGTAGATTAGGCTACCAGACATAGGAAAATGAAGCGGCGATTTAAAATAATCGCCGCTTCATTTAAATTTACATGGCTGCCGCGCTGAGCCGACAAACAGCTGATTAGCTGTTTGTCGGCTCAGCGCGGCAGCCATGTAAATTTAAATGAAGCGGCGATTATTTTAAATCGCCGCTTCATTTTCCTATGTCTGGTAGCCTAATCTACATGCCTCTGGCGACAGAGGCATGTAGTCTAGACGTACCCTAAGGCAGTGGTTTTCAAACTATGGGTCATGACCCAATACTGGGTAATGGAATGTCAGGCACTGAGCAGCAGGCCCAGCTCTTCGGTGCGAGGTGAGGGAGAGAAGGGGATGCACAGAGCTTCACACACTGCCCCTGCTGTGAGCACTAGCTCTGCACTCGCATTGGCTGGAACCTACTGCTGGATGCTTCTGGGGCGCAGCATAGTCTGTGGTGCTAGGAGAGGCAGGAAGCTTCCTGACCCTCTCCCAAAAGCCAGAGCATCCTCCTACAGCCCAAAGATCTCATCCTCAGCCCCATCCTAGAGCCCACATTTCAGTTAAATTATGTCATGTCATGGGTATCAACAGTTCAACTGGGCCATGAGAAAAAACACTGAAAACCTCTCTAAGGTGCCACAGGACTCCTCATTTTTGCAGATGTAGTCTAACAGTAACCTCTTTGGGATTTAATGCCTTGCATAGGGAAGTATCTCATCATTCCACATTTTCACTAAAAAGAAGGGTAATTCTGTTTGCATATTAACACAACACATTTTGCATGATGTCCTGGAATCCAAAGTGAAAATACAAAGTTGCTGCAAATATCTAACTTACATCTGGTCTCTTCTAGATTGTTGTTTTTGCAGCTGCAAAACCTAAATATTCACCTTTGGTAAGTCCACATCTCCAAACATTGAAGCAAGATGAGCTGCTTTCTCTTTAATGTTCTTTTTATGAAATTCCCTATTTGCTATTGACTGAGCTCTCTTCTGTCATAAAAGCCAAGAAAGGGAAACAGAACAGAGACAGATTTTAGTTAGCAGTCATACAAGAAAAGGCAGAAGTTCAACATGTACAGGGAAAGGCAATTTATGTCTTAACTATGTAACAGAAGTAGAATATATACAGGGTGCACAGAAGAATTAATAAGAATAAGAGAGAGACAGAAGTCGAAAATGAAATAGCTCATCACCTGATTAATTTTTTCTTCCACACGCTGAAGGCGTTTAAGCACTCCAGAAATCACAAACGCAGCAGGACAAGTAGATGCAAGCGTTTCTGAAAGCCTGGACTGCATGTCTGTTGTTTCTATCATTCTTGATCCCGTGGCCACACCATCAGAACCATGCAAAGATTGCTTTGGCTCTCTGACCACATGTTCAGTCCTAGCTACAGCCTGAAACTAGGAAACACTTCAAATGAAAAACATCGCTCTCTATATGAACATGCAACTCAGACATACTGTAAAACAACATACCCAACAGTATATCACAACCTATGAAGCTAAGCATTTCGTATCATGTGGTATTCTTCCATGTTTTAAAACACCGCAAGCATTCCATTATACTACTGTAAAACTCGTGCATATTTCCACGCACCACCGTGTATTTGGACCATAAAACACATACAAGTCTTCACATTCTGATGTCTAGCCACCTCTCAATATCTATGTGTAACTCTAAATAGTCTTACTAGAGGATGAATTTAACACATTCTCCTGTTATGTTCTGCAGTGTTGTGAAAACATGCATAAAACTATCCACCATAGAAGTGAAAAAATACCTCTGAGGGACACAATTTACTTTGAATAATTCAAGATCTACTCCATTCTGAGACTAAGCATAATACATTTCAGGTCCAAGGTTTTGGAGGAGGAGGGTTTCTGGGAAGTTAGAAATGGGTCCAAATATCAAACTTCAAACAGAAATGGTTTTTGAACCCCAACTGTGGTTTCATACTGTAAATTAAAAATTATTTTCCCATTTGTACTTTCATGAAATCTGGCCTTCTATTTTATAATGGTTGACCAATTACATGATGTTAGCAAAAAAAAGTCTCAAAAACACAAACACGTCAGCTTACAAATTGTTAATAATGTTACCCTATATACAAGGTTATCTTTCTTTTTAAACAATGATTCACAGCCCATTCATGCACACCAAATGTATGAATTATCGTTTGATCTACCCTTGCACCATTACATAGCGAGAAGGAGCATGGGAGGGAAAAAAGCCCACATTCTATAGGAGGACACTGATTTTTCTGGCATGCCAAGAACAGTCTCTCTCAAAAAAAAAAAAAGCAACCTAAACTACATGCAAAAATATTCAGCCCTGTAAAAATTAAGTGCAAACACTATTTGATAGGAGATTTAAAAAAATCCTAATTTATTCAGTATTTCATTCTGTGCTGCAATGAGGTTTCTAGAATAGATCCCCTACTACAAAGTATCTGGGACAGCATCCAAAAGGACTGGAAAGATGGATAACATTTATCCCTTGGATGCTAATCTAAATTGAAACATGCTTTTGTTGAGTTCTGAGTCAGACTGAATTGTTTCAGAGGGTCAAACTGAGCAAAAAACTCCACTGACCTAAGCATTCTATCAAACTACACAAAATATTGTATATGTATAGCAGTATCTTCCTAGGATGAAAAATGTATATGTTACTGCAACATATATACCCAGCGTCTCCCCTGAGTTTTGCTTGATTAAGCACACAGAACTTGACCCTGGATAATTTCCTGGAGGTTAGGTCCATAAAAGGCTATTAGCCAGGGGATAGAATTGGTATCCCTGGCCTCTGTTTGTCAGAGGCTGGAGAGGGATGGCTGGAGACAAATCGCTTGATCATTGTCTTTGGTCCACCCTCTCTGGGGCACCTGGTGTTGGCCACTGTCGGCAGACAGGATACTGGGCTAGATGGACCTTTGGTCTGACCCAGTACAGCCGTTCTTACGTTCTTAAAACCCATACACATTTACGGTGCTTTCCATGAAACCACGCATTCTTCAACTAACTTTCTAATCTTGTCTGACAAGTGTAAGGTAATCTTAATATGCGGGGGCGGGGCGGGGAACAGGGAAGGGGGAGGAAGAGGCCTTTTATAATTTACCTTTTATTATTATTCTTTTGGGTACTTGCACTCTAAATTGAAGAACCCTACTTTAAGATGTCTTAGCACACAACAGCTAATCAAAATCAGACATTAAACTGAGTATTTTGGAGTCATTTGAAGACACTGAATCCTGCCACTGTAAATGAATAGAGTATGTTAATTATTTATAGAAAGATTGTCTTCTTATGAATGCCTACCTGACTTTCCAGTGGAGGTGAAGGACTTGGCTCCTTAGGCTTAATAAAGCGAGGATTAGCAGGAGGATCAGAGGAAGAGAGCAGGGCTGGCTTATCTACTAGCTCCTAGTATAATATTTTGAATCAAAACAAGAGTGGAAAAAGCTTAGAGAAAAGATAAATAGAACTGCAAGATGATTGAGATGGACAGAAAAAGAAAGAAAAACTGAACAACATAATCCTTAAAAGAGCTTTTTCCAGAGATCTTTCACAGCTTTTTTGGAGTCTACCCAAATTAATGGTCTGCTCTCTCATTACAACTATACATGGAAGTGCACATGTGGAATATTAAACATTATAAATAGAGACTATGGTTAACTTCAAATGTGAGAATTCCCAATGAAGCCACTCATGCTAAACTGTAAAACCTGTACAGTATATCCTGTGTATTTAATGACATTGGCAGCTACACACATGCATCAAAAGATTAGACCCACTGTCTTGTATTTTCTATGTATTCTTTCCTAGATAAGAATTACTATGAAAAGAAAATACTGTCTCTGTTTCCTTTACTAACCTCTACAAAACAAACTGAAGCGCTTTGGCAAACTGAAGCGCTTTGGGCATATGGCAACTCATTGTTACGAAGCTCTACTATAAAGCCATAACTTTAGAGACAAGTTTACAGTAAATTTTAAACCAACACAATTACACTATATTACTATGCAACAGGTAGCCTATATAGTCACCAATTAATTTCCCTCTAAATGCAATTAAAATAATATTTTCTGTACAAGTTTTAGAAGAAAACTTTCAAAAAAGCTTCTTTGTGCTCACTACAAAGGCAATTTTTATATGAGAACTACCATTTTGTTCACAGGGCGAGATTAATTTCAAAGGTGAATTTTACACGTGCCGTTTACCTGTCTCCGGAGAGATGTATTTGGGGCATTCTCTTCAAACTTGGCTAACAGCTGCGTTGCCATTGACTTGACTTTATTTTGATTCATTCCCTCTCTGTCACCCTGATATTTCCCAGAATTTATCCCCCGACTAGAGAAACTTGAAGCCTGTAAAATAAAGAGAATTTTTCTTCAAGTCTCAGCTTGAGACTTACACTGGGATATTACACCAAAATACTCGTCACTAAGAAGGATGATGTCATCTTTTTAAAATAAGCAGATATGTCGCAAAATATAACTCAGTTTTATGGGACAATAAGAAAAAAATAACTTATAAAAATAAATAGATGGTTATCTTTGGTGACTCACCCCTCAAATGAGAGAACAAGCTCAGAATAGGAATTACAGAGACTATGCTGACATTGCTGATCTTAGTGCAAGAAGCCATAAAAACAAGCAAACAAAATCAAGAAGGGAATGGGAGTCCCGCTGGAAGGAAATGCTGTGAGGAAGTTACAAAACAAATGAGCAGAGATGAGAAAAGCCTTTATAGATGAGAACTTCCTAAACCAAAATAGGAATTGAAAAAATAAAGGTCTAATTTTACCTCCATAAATAACTTGAAAAACGAATTTAGCTTCACTACTGTGAGCAACATAAATTAAAGGAGGAACATACGTCTTAGTCAGCACCATGAACACAAGGTCAGATTTTGGGCCCCTGTTAAATCTGCTTCCTACTACTTCATTAACTCTCTTCATAGAGAAGATAGGGTCAATATAAGCAGCAAGTCTTAACACCAACCTCTTCAAAATCACCGAGGCCCTTTCGACGCCTTTTGTTCATATCATTTTCTTCTCTTCTTTCAACCTGCAACAATAAAACCAAAAAAAAGTATGTTGAGCACAACTGTATTGATTAATACGTTAAAAATACAGGTTGAACCTCTCTAGTCTGGCACCCTCAGAACCTGACTTGTGCTGAACCACTGTGAGCTGCAAACGAGTAATTTTCTGTGCCCATAATAAAAAGGAAGGAAATAAATCAATGAATACAAACTTGCTTTAAATATTTTCCACAGCTTATAATAAATAATTCTAGAATGAACTGAAGTTCTCTCAACCCCAACTTCTGGGCAAATACCAAAAGAAATAGATGACATTACTTTGAATACCGTGTCTTTCGAGCATTGGCTCTCAGTAATCTAGTTTCATATCCAATGTAAGCATCAAGTCTGCTGAGCAAGACTGAGCACTGCAATAGCACAATGTTTTCTGCAGAACAGTTTGTACATAAAAAAGAGATCACACAAGAGAATGAAGGGCACAATATCACATTAACTTTATAAATTTTATACAATGGGTTGTGATTAAAATTTTTGAAGACCTAGACCAGAAAGCTCAGTGACTCCTCGTCTGCAGACTGTGCTCATTATCATGTGAACACCTAGAACTCATTCTATAGTCTGGAGGAGAGCAGGAAACCTTTGTTCTTCTGAATTAGTGCAGATACCTTAATAGGAAAGTGAAAAACAATATCCATTCCAGGACTCAATGGCAAACTGCAGCAACACTAACTTCAGCCTACAATTTCCTAATCTCATACACTAGGCTGGGTTAGATGTCTTCCATCCAACTAATGGCCAGCTAGATGGTGTAAATAGTAGTGCTAGCAATCCAGGGTGGCATTCCCCCTGTAAGGGAACACCATCCTGGTGGAAGTGAAAACTCTCCGACAAGACAACACTAAGCACCTGGCTATTTGTACTCGTTATCAGGTCTTATATCAATTTTTGCAGGGAAAAAAAGTGACGGTTATGGCCAAATTGTAACGTGGGAGCTATTTTTCGTTTCATTACATTTCCACCATTGCTTGAGATAGCTATAAAAACACAACCACCACCACACTGGGTCAGACCATAGGTCCCTCTAGCCCAGTTTCCTGTCTTCTGACAGTGGTCAATGACAGATGCCACAGAGGGAATGAACAGAACCAGTAACCATCCCCAGTTGCCCATTCCCAGCTTCTGACAAACAGAGGGTAGACAACTCTGCCCATCCTGACTAATAGTCATTCCTGGACTTATCCTTCATGAATTCATCTAGCTTTTTTTTAGCCCTGAAAGCTCTGACCTTCACAATAGTTTTTTATAACTTCCTGTCCCAAACGGAGGGTGTGCCACACAGCAGCTAGGAGGTATAATTCCCAGCTCTGGCAGATGTAAACATGCTCACTCTGCTCAAGGTAAGGCACCAACATTAGCAATGAAGCTGCAGCTACTCTGGTTAGTCCAGAACATCACATGTGCCAGTACTATATTAGGTGCTATTTCGGAGCAGAGAGCGCACAGGTGAGTCCACTCCACCTAGGGATTCTATGGAAATGCACCCCATGAAGTAACATTTTTGGAACACAGAAGCCAAACACCTCAGAGAAGGCTGTGAAAGTCTATGGAGCTGCTTGCAAAAGAAGTGAATTGGACATTCTTGGTCTAAGTCATTTACTGATTGACACCATTACAGGAAAAAGTCCACACTATATTGCGTCTACAGGTGGAAATGAAATGAGTGTGAGGGGAGAGCTTTAGGTCTCTTTTCCACAAAACATTATAATCCTGGTGCAAAAGAGAGGCCATGAAGCAAATCTGCCTTGTTTGTCTCCTCTCTGAAGTTTTTTGAGGGGGAAGGGAAGCAGTTATTGGTTTACCCCATGCAGCGCATATGCGTAATTTTACTCCACAATTTAATGAAAAGAACTTTCAAAAGCTGCTGCTCTCACTGGATGCATTTGATGAAGTAGGTTCCAGCCCACAAAGGCTTCTGCCCAGATACATTTGTTAATCTTTAAGGTTTCACAGGACTCCTAGTCTGTTAAAAAAAACCAACACAAAACACTTGTCACTGGACAATGCATAGTGCTGAAACATTGTATTAATTCCTGCCTCTGTGGTTCACACAAGGCCATGGAATATTTCTTTTGTCTACCAGTTATTGAGCACTAAGTTCCTGCAAAGCTGCGTGACCATGCAGAGGCTATTAAGCCACTCACAGGGGCTCAGGGCAGCAGCAGGAAGAGATGCCTCTCCTCAAGCCCCAAAGCTGCCACAGGCATGGCCCCAGCAGGGAGCAATTGTGGGCAGTGGGAAGGTGCTCATGCTCACTGGCCCCACCCAGAAGCCAGACTAGCTGGCTGCTTCTGGGGCATCTCTTGGTTCCCCGGAACATTTGGGCACCTGGCAGTCCACCGTAACATCACTGGCCAGGAGCCACCCAGGTAAGCCTGACTCCCAACCCTGCACCCCACCAAAGCCACTGCAATCTAGAACCACCTCCTGCACCACAAGCCCTTCAAACTCAACCTCGCCTCAAATCACAAACCGCATCCCAGAGTCCAAATTCCCTCCTTCACCTCAAACCTGGAGCCTCCTCTTGCATCCCAAATTCCCCATCTATAGGCCCACTCCAGAGACCTTACCCCCTACTGCACCGAAATCCTGCTGCAACATGCAACCTCCTCCTGTATTCCAAGTCCCTCGGCCCCACCCCACAGCCTGGAGCTCCCCACAGCCCTTGCACCCTCCTAACCTTGTCTCAGCCTGGAGCCCCTAATTCCTGGCCCATCCCAGAGCTCGCATCCCCAGACAGACTCCTCTTACCCCTGTACTGAGTCTCCTCCAACAACTCCTTGGCTCCCCTCCCATCATATTCATATTGTTTCACATAACAAAATTAAGGTGATGTGTTGCACATCACCTCCATATTGGGTCACATAAAATTCATTCTACTCAGGGATGGGAAAAATGGAAGGAAACGCTGACTGAGAGAACTACGTAGTAGTAGGGAAAAGATTTCCACTACTGAAAGACTGTTTACTTTTATGAGTAACTAAGGGGAAAAACAGTGTGGCAATAAGAAGAGCTCCTCTCTCAAGAAAATCATCTCTTCTAAGAGAGCACAATATTTATTTTGTCTATTTGACTTGCCTTTAGTTGGGCTGGTTGGTAAGTGTGTCACTCTGATTTTGCACGTGGGTGTTTGGTGGGTAAAAGTTGTTACCTATTAAGGATATATGAGATAACTGATCATGTGTTTTAAATGTGTTTATGGAACTGGCTAAGACTCAAGTAAACCTAGGAAATATTTGTAGGCTATGAAGCACTCTCTGATTTAGGAAAGTTGTTTTCAATTCCGATGTAAATCATCTCCCTACATGACATGATGGAAACAAATTTATAACTAATAAGAAAACTATGAAAATGTTATTTAAAATATACACACACACATTCAGGCTGTCCAGTTAAGATCTTTGGACTAGAAATGAAGGAGAGCTCCCATATGTTACTTTTACAAGCTATTTTTCATTGCCTTGCATATTAAAAGTAAAAAATCTGAAGCACTTATATTGGCAGATATCTTTTCTTTTACTATGCAACAGACTAAAGCTACAATGGAGGAGCAAGTTAGGCCTGTTACAAACATGACTTTTTTGCAACATTTGGAATTACTGAAGAAAATAAGGTTCCAGAATAGTACAGGAAAACACAAAACTTCATACTGGTTTGCATTAGATTGTATTTTCAGGAAACACCCATGGAAGTTAACGAACTATGCTGTTATCACTGCTTTACAGAGCAGTAGCCACATTCTCATGTGGGTTGGCTAGAGTTTTACAGCAATTAGATCTGAACAATCACAGAGGGACATCGTTGACTTCGAGTCTGCACATCCTGGCTCAATTTTGAAAAGGGAAGATGAGGGTGGAGTTGGAGGCTAAAGACAGAAATGCCCGCTCCAAGTTCCTGTCAACTTCTCATTCAGCAATGGGACTGGGACGGGGAGAAGAGTAAAAATGTAGGATAATAAAAGGTATTTAACAGGAAAATATGTAACTGAATGTATCTCCAAAAAACATTGTCTTGGAAAAGCTTCTATGCACTTATGGAAAAAATAAAAATGTACTGTCACCATCCCCAATCTTGCATCAGGCTTCGCTAGCTGTGCCCTTTCAAGGTTTCACTGACTTCAGTAACTCAGGGGCTGTGTCTAGACTGGCCAGTTTTTCCGGAAAAATCAGCTGCTTTTCAGGAAAAACTTGCCAGCTGTCTACACTGGCTGCTTGAATTTCCACAAAAGCACTGACTTCCTACCGTGAGAAATCAGTGCTTTTTGCGGAAGTACTATGCTGCTCCCGTTCAGGCAAAAGTCCCTTTTGCGCAAAAGAGCCAGTGTAGACAGCTTTTGCGGAAAAGCGTCTGTGCCAATCTAGACGCTCTGTTCCGAAAATGCTTTTAACTGAAAACTTTTCCATTAACAGCATTTCCGGAAAATCATGCCAGTCTACACGTAGCCAGGGTGTTTTATGAAGCACAGGGAATTGTACATTTACTCAGTGGGACTTATAACATACGAGAGAGAAAAAAAAAGGCATCTAATGTGAATGAATTATTGCCTATGGGCCAGAGCCTGCATACATTTACAACAGTAAACATTACTCTTAGTAGTAAGCTTTTCCATGGACTTCAAGGTCATAAGTATTACACTTCTGTAAGTATGGAGTTCTTGGCCCCTAAAACATTTTGAAGGTTGGAACATGAAAATGGTATCTGTAGCATTAACCTTAACTATGGCTTTTCCAGGACATTAATTTCATTGCTATAACATATTTAATAAATGAAAAATACTTCCAGAATCACCACTATTATTTGAGTATATATGTAGGATGGCAGTACAGATTTCACTCTCTTATATGAAGTACTGTAAGACTATAGTACCACTTAGATAAAGGAATGGTTAATAGATGCAGAGAAAAATACAAGATTTTCTGCAGTCTTTTTGGAAGTCTATAAAACTTCATAAAATATTTAATTATATGTTAAGAGGAGAAGAACTGGCTAGAAATAAAGTATTTAAAATGATTTATAAAAATAGGCTTTAGTGTTATGCTGCTCACAGATGAACAATCTGAAATTGAATAAAGCTGACAAAGAAATGGTTTTAAGAAGACACTGACAAGTTGAAAAAAAATCTTCTATCTTTTAACAAAGACATTTGTCTATGTTAAGTAATCTACAGTAATCTGGACAGTTAAAATAGAGAGTTAGATAAGCTTTTGCTTAGATTTTCTACACGGTCATTGCTAACTCCCTTTGAACATTAATAGGAGTTTTAGGTTTTGCAAAGACTGCATTATATATGGCAGAGGTAGCTCCCAAGGTTCAGGGCTCCCCCCTCCCACAACACTGCAGAGCCCATGCTGGTGCTCCAACCTCCCACCATCCCCCCAAGGGGCTGGAGCACACAAAGTGTACTAGTTTGGGACCCCAAGGCTCCAGTGTGTGAGGGGGATGTCAGGAGTATCTTTCTCCTTCTCAGTCGGGACTATGTCAGTGGTCGGTCCCCGACTGATTTTTCTGTAGGTAGCAGTCCCTACCCCAAAAAAAGTTCCCCACCCCTGATATAAGGACTAGAGTCTGTCTAGATAATTTCATTGATGAGCATAATGCTACAATGTTAGAGTTACAAACATAATAAATATTTTTGTTTAGTAAGACAACATTAGAATTGGAATTATTTTAAATAATGATGAATATATTCTACTAGTTTACACTATCTAGAAGTAGAATATTACAAACCCTAAGTTTTGGGCCTGATGGTTTACCTTTAACATGCTAAAATCAGACAAAGAAGTAAAGGACAAAGAATCTTACTTTTGGTACTCGCTTCCTTGGTAACGTAAAATTGATGTAGTTATTAAAGATTCGGTTTGAGGATTTAGCTGAGCAGAGGTCATTTTTTCCATTTTGTTTCTCCACAGCATCTGTTCAAATGACAATATGAAACTTTTAAGATATTGTTTTCACATAAAAGTCACTTTTCAAGCATTTAATCTGTAGAAACCATAGTTTGCAATTTTCTACTAAAATCATTTATATATTAGTGTATTGGAGCCCGCTCTCCTGCCAAAATGAATGGAATCTGGGTATTTTTTAAAAAAAAATTGGAAGAAAGTTCCATATGAATAAATATGGGGAGGACAACATACCTATCAACTTACTATAATGCTTGACATTATTATCTTAATGATAGTGCTAGTTACTCAGTGCTCTCCTGCTTTCTGAAACAATGAGGGAATTGAAAGCCTTGATCAAAATCACATATTTTCCATTTCCTTTTTAAGCATGGGATAACTAGTACAGACAAAAAAAGGACTGAAACATTCCAGAGTGGTTATATTGTGGCTGTGAGATACAGACTTTGGCCCCACATCTGGGGTAATTAGGCAGCTCAGGGGAAATAGATATTCCAATTCTGTAACAAATAAGAACATAGGTTTGCTTACCAACTGCTCTCAGAGGAGTTCCTCTAAATAGCTCATAGAATTTTGAGAGGTACATGACCATGCTGAGCTTATCAGGCTCTCCAGCAGACGCCATCTCTTTCCCAGTGGTGACTGGAGGAATTCCCAACTCTCGTTCGGCCATGTCAAACACCAGCTGGTTGTTTTCAACAACATCTTCTTCTTTCAAAGAGTCAAAGTCACTGAGGGACACAGCATTAATATTGTGTGGGTCTAGGGGACAGCTGTCTTCTGCCACTTCCACAAACAAACAATAAAAGCACTCATTTGCCTCATTTGGGACTGTCATGACTGAAGTCATGATTCAAGGCTGCATGTGCGCTCTACAGGGTTGCCTTTATGAACTGTAACCACATTTACAGATAAGGAATGTCACAAAAAGCACTTCCCTACCAAGTTTGAAGTTTACTTTTCAAATTAAGTTTAAAAAACAAACTAATTTTTCAAAACTATTCAAGCTAGTTTTATTCTTAGAGAAAGAATTTTCTGATCTATCCTGTGAAAAATGTAACCCGATTACAAACAGTACAAAAAGAGTCCTTCCCCTTCTGAATACAGCTGTGCTGATGCATATTTCAGCTACTGCAAGTGGTGCACTTCACTTTTAAACACGGAATAATCCTATTTCATGTGGTACGTAAGTGAACAAATTCATGACCGCATAGAACAGTGAATTACAAGCTCAGACTAGCACCACATTCCTTTATCAAACAAGCATCTCTCTCACACACACAAATTGAGACTGTTCTCCATGGGATTAATTGGACACATGTGATACATTTATCATATACCTTTGACTGCATGACCTGCCCCTATTCATTTTCTTTGAGACTCAATAAAATTGCAACTCCACGTAGTTTCAAACAGATTTTTTTAAATAAAGCAGCTAGTAAAAAAGTTTCCTCCACCTCATGCCAAATGTGAAAATCTATGCCCCCAAAAAGTTATCCCCCTCTGATGCATAGAATGGTTGAATGGCTGCTTTTATGGATCCAAAAGCATCATTTTTTAACTCAGATGGCAGAAGTTTGTACTTCTGGCTGATGCCTTTGGCCAATGAAATTAGCCAGTATTTGGGGCCTTACAAGGTTGCTTCCTTTAGGAGGAGATTTGATGCTGGAGACAGTAATTTCTTTAGTGGTATCCTCTTTAGTTACAACAATGCACACAATGTCCTGTTTCTCTAAACAGGATGGAAACAGGCAAGGATTCCAAATCTGCCTTTCCAGCAAGTACTATGCCCAAAAGATGGTCTGTGTGCTCCTTCTCACACCATGTACATATAGATTCTCTCTCTCTCCTGACTTTCTGGCTCTCATGCCTACAGCTACGGTTATGCCATGGAGCTCACAGAAGTCATGGAATTGTTGCATTTCAGAAACCTAACATTTTCCACTTCAGACCCAGCTCTCAGCTGCTGCCTCATAGCTCCCAGCCATCTTGGGCTACCCTCTCCCCTAAGGTAGTTCCTAGCAAAGGGGGAAAAGGGGACAGGAAGGACCACAGTGGCCGCGTCCTGTGGGAGGCAGGACTCCGCCTCCAGCACTTGCAGGTGGTGGACATACCTTCTTTCTCCGCCCCCTCATTTTGTCATGGATACTTTACTGGAAGTTAGGGACAGATCTTGGGCTTCCATGACTTTTTGGTTATTGCCTGTGACTCATGCATGACTTTTACTAAAAATATCCATGACAAAAATCTTAGTATTACTTGCCCACACGGCTTGTCAACCCATCCTTTGGCCACTCCGTTTTCAATCAGTGAGAGGGAATCTCTCAGTATTCCAAGTTATGCCTTGCCAGGCGGCCACGTTGCACAATGACTTCTACTGTTTCCAGTTTCACAAGATAAAAGGGGTCTGCACCTTCCCTGTAGCTGAATGATTAGCATGTAGCATAATCCATCAGCTTTAACCATATCTGTCACTGATGAAAGTCATTAATTCCTCTTTATACAGCACATGTGCCTTTTTTTCCATTCTGAAGTTCGCAGTTGGGTCATCTTTTCAAACTTCTGCCACAGTATAATTGTTGATATCAAGTCTGTAGGGAATCCAGCATGCCTGTGTGCACCCTCCAGAGCCAGGGAGCCAGAGGGCACAGAAGTCACTCCTATCACAGATGACTTCAACAGAGATGGCCATTAAAGATTGATTATAATTTCTCTGGATGTGGGAAGATCACAGGTCTCAATAAGTAGCTGGAGCAGAAGATACACACTAAGGGTATGTCTACACTACCCCGCTAGTTCGAACTAGCGGGGTAATGTAGGCATACCGCACTTGCAAATGAAGCCCGGGATTTGAATTTCCCGGGCTTCATTTGCATAAGCGGGGCGCCGCCATTTTAAAATCCCCGCTCGTTCGAACCCCGTGCCACGTTCGAACCTCATTCCACGAGGAGTAACGGTAGTTCAAACTAGGAAGCCTAGTTCGAACTACCTAGTTCGTGCCCCGTGTAGCAGCGCTGCACGGGGTTCGAACGAGCGGGGATTTTAAAATGGCAGCGCCCCGCTTATGCAAATGAAGCCCGGGAAATTCAAATCCCGGTCTTCATTTGCAAGTGCGGTATGCCTACATTACCCTCCTAGTTCGAATTAGGAGGGTAGTATAGACATACCCTAAGGGCATGTCTACAATTCAACTAGACAGCCATGGTTGGCCTATGCCACCTGATTTTGGCTCACAAGACTTGGACTAAGGGGCTGTTTAATGGCGCTATAGACTTCCCAGATCAGGTTGCAGACTGAGCTCTGGGACCCTCCTGGAGCCAACAGTCCTGGAGCCCAGAAGTTTACACTGCACTTTAACAGCCCTGCAGCTCGACCACAAGCCTCAGTCATCAGGTACATACCAGCCATGGGTGTCTAGTTGCAGCATAGACACATACTAAAAGTTTGTGTAATTAATTAGATCCAGTGGGATATGGTGTGACTAAGGGATCAGAGACTTAGAGTCACAGGAAGGGAGTTAGGGCAGAAGAAGGAGTTAATTTGCAAAGATTACCTCAAGCATCTTACTCCATGTTTGGTGTTCATAATAAAGTTAACATGAGCGGCAGTTATATTCCTCTAGAGAGAGTACATACAAAAACAGTATAAATGGCAGAATTCCCTTGAATTTGCTTCTCCTTTCTAAGAATGTGCCTCCAGGAACACATGGCCATGAAGCTTCACATTTAAAAATAAAATAGACATATGATTTCCCCTGAAGTCAACAAAAATCATATGGCCAAAAGCCACACAGCTCTTTGAAAAGGTTTACTTTCCATTTTAAATGCTGGTCCAAGGACAGCTGGGAAAAAAAAACAGATTCAGCAATGGCATGCACCAATTTGCAAAAACAAATGTTACAAGAGGACTCTACACCACCAGCATTGTTTTGGTTGGCTTTATGCTAGTCTATAGTTATATAAACCACTTAGCATATCCTACAATTAGCAATCTCTACCCATATAACTTACATGAGGTCAGGTCTGAAGCGGTGCATAATTGCACACAGTGCAAGGCCACTCCTCCAAGAAGCAGTGAGATCAGTGACATTAACATTCCTGTACCCTTCGGTCTGTTTCTGACACCAGGTTAACAGCTTGTTAGGTCGAATATCAGATTCTGCAGGTGTAGTATAGGGAGAACATTTTAGTCACTTATATGCTCTGAATATAAAACGTAAAAGAAACATACCAGGCAGAAAATTTCACCTACCATGTCTTGAGACATTCACTGATTTTCTAATTGAGCTGACTCTTTCAAGAGGGCACTGTTGTAGCTCATTTATAATATACAAATGTCTAACCTAAAGCAAAAACAATTGGAGCATGAGTTCATGAACCACTGCAAGTGATTTTAATATAATATTTTCTTTTTATGTCAACTTTATTGAGTATCTTGATCTAATCCTGAGAATTTCATGAAGGTTTTGTTTATGCAGCATTTCAGCCGCAGTCACATTACTCCTGGGATAAAAATGAATTGTAGTCTTGTAAAGTGAGTCTTTAAAGAACTGACCTGATGAGGTCGAACACAGCTGGAGTTCAAGTTTGGATAACGCGTTCCTGGGTCAATGGTATACTGGTCAAAATTCTTGTTGATATTTTCAGGTGTAGTCTGGGGCAATAGTCGATAAATGCTCTCTCTTACAGACAATAATAAAGTAGTGTCAGTTTGAAGACAGCATGTAACCATTTTTTCCACATTATTGGTATTGTAATTATCCTCACCTCTATTTACAATCTGTCAATAATTAGCATTCTGCACTAACCCTGAATCTGCACCCACAGCCAGAACTGCCTCAGCATGAGAAATTTTCCATCCCCAACCTGAGACAGACACTTAAGTGATGCCTATGTCTTCCTAAGGCAGTAAGAGAACAAAAGCAAACTAAGTTTACGTCATGCAAAGCCATCTGTTTTTGCTTTAATCTCCATCCAAGGGGTAACTTTTCATTCTACCACAAAACAGCATTGGATATAGTCATCCTGCAATTCATCCAACCACCAGGACCTTCTTTGTTGCTCCATTCAATTTTCCATTTGGGATTGCTCTTTGTTTGAGTCATCCAAAAACTTCTGCCTTCTCATGCCTCACACAAACAACTGCATTTATAGTCATTAACACAAATAACAATACTGTTCCATATATCAGTTTCTAAAACATCCTGACCAGCTGTAACAGTATCAAATCTTTGCCCCTGGAACCACTAAACAAGGTCACACACATTTTTTTTTGTTCATGTCTTTAATAGCAGTTTTCGGGTGAGTGAATAATAGATTATAGAAAATAATTTATTAAACCCATGCAGATTCTTGCCTGCTGCACATTTAGCAGTATCAGTAAAAATTACATTACTGTCCCAGCATGAACTAAAAGTCTCAGCTAAAGAAGCAGGTGCCAATTTGGAAGTTCACTGCTGTTAAAGTGTTGTTTGTGTTCTTGGACTAAAAGCAGATGATTTGAGAGGTGCTTGCAGCTAGTTTGGTATTTTCAGCTCCTGTCCGGTAAAAAAATTCAGAGAATATCGGACACCTAAAATGTCCGGTATTCTCTGAATTTTTCCCCAGCCAGGAGGCAAAAATCCCGGGCACCTGGCAACCCTACAAACACTCAGTGCCCGGCCTTCCTCCACCCCCCCGAACCTCCTCCGGCCCTCAACACCCCGACCCCAGCCCCCATGCTTACCTGGTTCCCAAAGGCTGCCGGCACAAAATGGCTGCTGGCCAAAAGACCTAGCAGAAACAATGCTTTCCCCTGGGTCTTAGTGCTCAACCACTCCCCTGTTCCTATCCCTGCACTCACTCTTAAAGGGGACATGCTGTTTTATTTTAATTTTTTTTGGGTCCTTTTTTTTTGGCTCAACAACTTTGGTCTCCCCCCCCTTTTTTCCCCTTCAACAGAATTTTTTCTTAGGGGGAGGGGAGGGGAAATCGGTATTTTTATTTCAACCATCTGGCAACTCTAGGTCTAAAACCTTTTCACACCAAAGGTCCAAACTACATCAACATTCAGAACAAGTGGTCAACAAAGAGCCATATAAAAATGCCCATGTGTATGACTGAAAATATACAACAAACCCCTAGGCTCTGGGGTGGGGCCAAAAACGAGGGGTTAAGTGTGCAGAACAGGGCTGCCAGTGAATGGGATAGGGATGAGGGTGCAGAATCTGGGTGGGAGGAGGGTACAGTGTGGGAGGGGGCAAGATCTGGCAAGAGCAGGCTGAGGCCAGGCTGCCTGGCCACAGGGCAGAAGGGATTTTGGCCAAGGGACTGGGGGTGTCTGGCCAGGGGGCAGAGGGCAGGGGGGATTCTGGCCAGAGGACTGGAGGTAGGGGGGATTTTGGCCAGGAGACAAAGGACAGGGATTTTAGCCAGGAGGCTGGGAGGCAGGGGTTGTCTGGCCAGGAGACAGGGGGGGCTGGCCAATGGACAAAGGGCAGAGGGGATTTTGGCCAGGGGGCATCTGGTCAGAAGGCTGGGGACAGGGGAGATTTTTGGCTGGGGATAGGGGGGTGTCTGGCCAAGAGGCAGAAGGCAAGGGGTGGAAAAGGGGAAGTGAGGGTGTGGATATCTGGACATGAGGGTGTGGGGGGCATATACTTGTCTTCGTGCAACGTGGCAGCCACTGTATAAACATGTCTCCTGCTGCTCCCATTCCCCAGAATCCTCCAGGAAGCCTCCCAGGAAGGGTTTCCCAGGGAATGAAAAAGGCCAGCGCAGAGGGTTTTTGTCCACTTTTGGCTGCTTGTTTCCCGCATGGAAAGGAAGGAAAGAAGAGCAGCGCACCGAGACAATTTTTTGCTCCACTTGTTCTCTGCATGTTCTGGAGCAGGGCAGG